GTTGAAGCTAGAAACTTTCTTTTTTCGTAGATCATTGATTTTTAATCGAAAGAAATAATCGAAGTTCGATTATTTTTGATTTCGAAATAATCGAAGATTCGAATGTTTTCGATTTCGAATAATCGAAGGTTCGAATATTTTCGATTTCGAATAATCGAATTTCGATTAATCGAAATCGGTGCATGCCTAGTTCGTTCTCATTCTTGAGGGAAAAAAATATTGAATCATAAAATCGAATTTCGATTAATCGAAATCGGTGCATGCCTAGAACGAACAATAGCTAACCGGGTGACACTCCGTCACAATTTTAAACTCACGACACTGAACACGAATCTAAAACTAATCAACTAATGTCTGTCCAAAACGTGACAACCAGTCAATCATCATCGATGTACTTCAAATCGTTAACTATAATTCCAAATCGAACTCAATTCATTCATACTATTCACCAGGGTATACTTTAACTAAACGACAATTAGTTCAGAGTACAAATAGATACAAGTAATAAATCCATAAACCTATTCAGATCCCATCAGAAATCATACCACACTTTATCACCATGAAGAAAATGTTCTTGACTATTTCTCCAAGCAAACTAACACCACCACACTCTACAACCACCAAAACTAACCATTCCACCCTACGCATTTAACAAACCCATTCGATCAGCCAACACTCTAAAAAACGGAGACTAAAATCTGGATTTAAAACTCCACTACTCATTCACCATGCAAAGTAACGAACTAAAAAGAATATTTTTCATGAAACTTGAGATAGCTCCGTTGAGAACCGACGAAACTAGTTTTAGTATATTTCTTCTATACACACTCACACCCATCGATAAATAAATCTTTATGAAGATCTCTTTTTCTCTATCATTTCTTAGGTTTTATCATCTTCAGAGTAAAAGTGACAATATTTTTATTGTTTATCGATTGATATGAATCATTTTATTTAAATTAATAGAAAGGCACAAAGAATAAACCTATCGTTAAATTTTTTTGAAAATTTAGTTCCACACTGCATGAAATTCATATTGACCTGAACCAACATGTACACTCATTAAATCTGTTGATAAATCTCTTTCAATTTTAAATTCTTGATTATTTCCAAGAGCAACATCTGATGACCATAATACTTTGTTCCCTTCAATCAATGTTTTGCATTGTGCACCAGGAAATAATGGTTCAAACATAACACGAGCTTGTGCATTTGGTGGGATTGTAAGACGAAGTAAAATGGAATTATCAATTGTATCACGTTCATCACGAGTATATGAAACATGTACAAGACCATATAATGTACTTAGTTGACAATCTAATTTTTTCATCAAGTGTTTTTTAGCTTCAGAGGCCATTCGTGGTCGAATAGTGATTGCATCTGATGTAAAATCAATCCCAGCTAAATGAGTATAAAACCATGTACCAACAGTAGCATACATATGATGATTACGTGAGTTCATGCCTGGTCCTTCAAATGGAGCATTCCATAATTCCCAGATAGTGGTGGCATTTTCATAAGGATTGTTAAACATAAAACCGTAAGATGGATATGTTATTGATGTCACTAATTCAAGTGCTAAATCATGATGTCCATTATCAGATAAAACAGGATAGATTTGAGCATTGGAGACAATGCCTGTTGTTACATGATTTCCTTGTTTCCTAATATCTGTGACGAGATTATCGACAACAACACCATGTACATTAGGTGGTACAACACCAGGTAATGCCAAAGCTAAGACTTGAGCTGCTTGCATTCCATCAGCATAAGCATTTGTTGTATTATTAAAAAAGACACGATGAAATTCTTGGGTAAGTTGTTCATATAATGCTGAATAGATGCCAGTGTCACTCGTTTTTTCCAACACTTGAGACATATTTAGTAGAATATTGACATCATGAAGGAAAGCAAATGATGATATCAGAGCTCTGTTAGTTTGACCAAATGGTGGTGGTGGAACCCAATCACCATATTTACAGAATAAATTAACAAGACCAGTTTGATTATATCCCTTACGAATATATTCTACGTAAGCCCGCACATTGTTATAATAAGGTTCGAGAAGTGATGAGTCGTTCGTATGTCGATAAACTTGCCAAGCTATTGTTGGTAATGCAGTTCCCCAATTTGGATCAGGATTATAGCTCGATCCAGGTACGAAATCGGGAACTTGTCCATCGGGTAATTGAACATCACAGATTAAATTAAGAAAATTGAGATAAAATTTGACTAAATCAAAATTGTATAAGGCTTCATTCACTGTTAGTGCTGCATCTCCCATCCATCCTCGACGTTCATTACGTTGTGGACTAAAAGAATAGAATTGAGAAAAAATATTTGTTTCTTCATCATATTTCTATCAATCAAACTTACCAATCAGTAGGTAAAGACATTGAATTGCTTAGTTGACCCCATTGAACATTATGTTGAATTTGATTAATAATGGGATTGCTCGAAGTGAAATTGCCTCTTAATGTTGTTTCACTATGTACGAAAGGACATTCAACATCATCGAGAGCCAATGGATTGGGTGAACCAAGTACAGATATATAACGAAAACCATGATAAGTGAAACTAAAGAAAATACCAACTGAAATGAAAACAAATACTAAAAAATCTCATACGTTGGTTCATAAATTTCAAAAACTGGATCACCATGAAGAATGTAAGTGTTCGATGCAGCAGCTTCACGAAGGTTTTCTGTGTAAATATTGTTCGTAGGTTGACTAAAATTAAATTTATGATCATACAATATCGAAAATAAATCATTGATTACTTCTTCCCAACGGTTCCTTGAACTAATGCTTCTCCGTGACGGATATAGGTGCCATAACCTGGTGGACCAAGAAATCGCAAACGACACCATCCAGCAATATTCTGACCAAGATCAAATGTATGAACACCTGTACAAAATTTATTAGATCTTCTTTCAAACAATAGAAAACCTGAATACCTGATTCGGAATTCCAAGAAGAAACAGGTTGAATTACAACGCCAGCAGTTAATGATGCACCTTTCATTTTGCCTACATCTTCTGTAGTTAAATAACTGTGTTGTTGATTATCAGTAGTTACTTCAAAATGTAATGCATCCTCTCCCGCTCGAATTGGTGGCATGTCTTGGAGTACAAGTAAACCGGAATCATCGACTGGTGATGATAATGACTCTGGAGTGATCCAAGCTGATAAAGAGTCACTGAATCCAGCTTCACTCCAACCAGGACGATTACCTCGACTATCACAGAATTCTCCATTATAAACACTATCATGTTTGATTGATCCCTCACGACCTGTCCATGTCAAATCACTGAGAACTTGCATGTCATCACCACTTTGAAACGTAATAGACAATGTAAAAATAAGACGAGGTGGACCTGAAATTTAAAAACAACGTTTCTGCAAGAAAAAAAAAGGAAAGTTTTATTTACCATTGCCTCCTTGTTCATGGGCATACCAACCATTGCCTAATTTCACACCCACGGCATTCATACCAGTCTATACAGATAATAATAACTCGTCTTATCGATCAAAAACAAACGTCTCTCACCGTGATATTGCCTGTCACATCATATGAAGCGAGTAAAGTACGTTTCTCATAGGTTGTCCAACCAGGATCAAGTTTACGACTTGGATCAACATTTTTTCCATTCAAATAAAATTCATAATAACCCAGACCAGTTATATAAACAATTGCTGATTTGACAGGACTAGTATTTGGAACATTAAATTCTTTTCGTAATTCATTCATGTTAATTTTCGTTGAACCAATCCAAGTAAGATTACCATTCTGTGTTATATAATCATGTAAATTAAATATAGCTGTTCGAAATTGAATCCATTTGGTCCATTCACTTGCTTCTTCGGAATTTGTCGTCCATACTCGTATACGAAGACGATGATATCTTGATGGAAGAAGATCAGCTTGACCTGTGTATCGAATATGAGTTGATTGGGATGAAGCAACACGTTCAGAGTCCCATTGATACAAAGTATCTCGATCAGTTAATTTAATTGATTCTAATTGAATTTGATATGCAATTTGTTCAATATTTCGTTGTTGGGAAATATTCTCAGGAAAAGGAATTTTCCAGGAAAATCCAGGTCTTGGTGTATTAATAATTAAATCACGAGTAGTATCAACTTTATGATGATCTATACGAACATCGAATACAGCTAATGAACGACCATCAACAACTGACCAAACGAGAATAAGAAGAGTGACGCAGTAATGCAGAGAGAGCATCATTATGCTCTGTAATGTAGAATAAAATATAAAAACGAAATGACACCTTGCTTTGATATCGTATTTTTATATATTCACACCCTCTTATCGGTAGCCTCATTGTTTACTCGTTCTTTTTTTTAAATAGATAAGCAAAGTGCGCACGAAGTAAAAAAATATTCAACTATTACAGTTGGAAGTTCAAATCTCTACGGATGCGATGAGTGAAAATTATTACGAAGACATTGAACTATTTCACTGTAAATAATAAATAATGGGTTGTGTGTAATAGTTTTCTCTTTTCACACTTCTTTTGTTCGTATATCGTTGTTTGCTTCAGAAGTGAGAAAAACAAAAAAAAAGGCAGGAGAGATGATATATAGTTGATGGTTATCTCTTTGAGAAAGAGATAACGGTGCGAATATTTTCAATCGTATTCGCTCATACTTTTAAATAAAAATTTGTCCGCATATTCATAGTCTTTTAAGAAATCTATCATTGAAGCAATAATGCGTTCATCAAACATTATATTAATCTTTTTCGACAGATCGATTAAATTATTTTTTACAATAATAATTCTGTTCTCTTATCTAAATATAAGTTAGATAAGACAATATACCCAATTAGATGATTAATTATAAGTTTAACAGCAACTTTAAATTTCATAATTGAAAAACAAAAAATTAATAGTTTTTATTAATTTATTTATATAACGTTTCGAAAATTCATTTTCATCTTCAGATATACAATTGAAATAACAAATACTAAACAACAATGTCTTATATAGATGAATCATTACATACATATGATGTAAGCCTGGATGATTCTTTATTTGTTTTCTTGAGGGTGTGAGTGTGGTTATGGATTTTCTTTTTAAATCATCCACACCCCGCCCACAACTACTCCCACATCCCAAACCCACGTACCCACACATACATCCACACACACACATCCACACTCACACCGCTCAGTTGATTGTTCCTCAAAATCATCATGACTATATACAGTTTATTAAGTTGATACCGAGTATCAGGGTCTTGATGATTCATATAACTCTCAAAATTCTGCCGTACCTACAAAATCTGTGCTGAGTACTCCATCATGTGTCACTAGATGATATATTCTAAAACTACCTTTTTCACAGATAATTTAGTCTTCTGAAAATACGAAGATACATCTATTTGGAAAATAGGATGTGTGAACTTCTCTGTTCAAGCTGATAACAGTGAGGATGACCACAAGAACGGTAATAAGAAGATTTAGTGATTAAGAAAAGAGTGATTCAATTGATTTTATGCGTGAATTAAGAAATATGTCAATGAAGTTATGTTAGAAAATAGAAAATTTAGAGGGTAATTATCAGATGTCTTTAGACCACTGTGGAATATAGTCGAATACGGTTTGATGAATGTCTCTTTGCAAAATACTTCATATTGTGTATGTCATCTCGTGGAATGACAAAATGATTACTAGAAAAAGATGTACAAACTCCATCTTGCTCGTTTCAAACTTTATTGAAAGAGAAAAAGGGTGCAGATAATCGAATTTTCATGAGACGATATTTGTTTGTATTGAATCAGAGAAAAATTGAAAATAGTTCATCAAATGAATAATACGAGCAGTGACGTTTGATGAGTATTTCTGTGGTGTAGATACCGGTCAATGAGTCCATACCACGGCGTTTATGTAGCCAACCCATACTATTGTACCGTTGTTTAACAGAGATAAAGTGTAGGGTGCACGGCTCGTACCCGTCTGTGTGTTAGACACCTATACTCCTGAGGATCCACACACTGAATACCTGAATAACATAAAGTATCATCATCTGAGTCTTGTTACTTACCAATTTTCTTCTCTACTCGTAACAGAAATGGATTTCTCTAAAAATCCCTCTTTAACCCTTTACCCCCCACGGCAGTTTCCAAAGAGTAAAAGATGAAACAATCGTTCGAGTAGAATATTGGGGCCTCCCATATACCAAAACGATGGTCAGATCAGTCAGATATTGACTTTCATTTTTCGGCACTTTCCTGAACGGGGGTACGCACAGTGGGCATCCAGACGGAAATTAGGCAAAAAATTTAAGTTGCTCGTTTCTCAAAGATAAATAGTGCAAAATGTAGCCCTTTCAATTCTCTATCGAATGGTGTATGAATGTCTGTTGTGATTTTCACTTCTTCATGAAGAAATCAGGCCACAAAGGAAGGTCCCAAAACATCATTCGTATGCACAAAACGCCGTTTTCTTCTTTATACACCTACGTTTAATGATTTCAAAGCACATATTCGGAATCAGTATGTTTTCAGCTATCTATCGATATCAAAATATATATACTTTACTTTCAAATTCAATATGTAACAGCTCTTTAATACTTCATCGTTCACTCGTACATGAGACCACCTCAGTATAGTCGCATCGCCCGAGAACGCCGGACTTCAAAAGCACATCTATTTACATCAAAACATTCCTCAGTTAATACTCTATCTGTGGCAGACTCACCTAATCTCACCTATTGTTCTAAGTGTAGATATGAATTTTCAAAAAACCCATAGAGTTTTCAAGGTATTTCGATGTTTTCTCGTACAAGAAAGCGTTTTTATTGAAATATAATACCATATTCGGAATCAGCGTGAAAAACTGCAGCGAATGGTGTATAACTCATCTAGTTTCGGTCACTCGATTTTGAATTCTGGAAATTTCTTAGTTCTTGAGATTCGCAAAAACAGTTTCGTGCTGAAAATTTGAATTTCAAGATAAAGTAACCTGAACGACTGGAAACATGTTTCTTATAGGTTTTCGACAATGCTCTTTCCAGTGGCATCGTTTTTAAATATTGGAAAAGTTTTCTGAAGCGCTTTACAGAGACCGAATTTCTGGAAAACTGCTTAGAAAACTTTTGCAAAACCCAGCTCTCATGCCATTAGAAAGAGGATCATGAAAAACCTATAAAAAAACGGTCCATGAAATTTTAGTTCACTCATAAAGCTAAAGTCCGGCTGCTCTAGCAAAAAATGCCCACTCTGGTACGGGAACCAATCCGTAGGGATTTTCATAGACTTTCAGTAAAACTGATGTAGTTCAGTAAAGAAACGTTATGGAGATCTCGGGAACGTTTCATTTTGTAGAGAATTGTTCGCTCTATCATTCTGTTTAGTTGAAATGAAAATTTTCTATTGATTTGTAGATGATGATTAGCCGAGACGTCAAGATATTAGGGATCCATTAGGCAACTTTCGTTTCTGCAGCCCGTCTTCCCTATGAAACTTTTTTTGGAAGCTCTCAAACCTAAGTAGTTCAGTAGTGGGCACCCTCTTCGATGTGTCTCATATCGTAGGTTGCAGGAATATCTTTTGCTCAAAGGTAGAGAGAGACTTTTCTCCACAGTAGTCTCTTTTTTACAGTCATCGATCTTGTAAGCCGTGTATTTTCGAGCGAGCACAGTAAATTCAACGAGTTTTTTTACTGATCGATAACCCGTGAGCTTTGCTACAAAAATTGTTCTTACATTTTCTGTATCCCATGCTGTTTCGAAGCATGTCAATCGATCTCCGAACGTTAGCTCGTCAATCTTTTCTCTGTATCTCTTCAACGGTAAGAGCAAGGAGGCTCGTTGACATCGCGTTTGAAAGCTCATTCAACGCTGATATTGACAGTGGGTCTAGTTTCGCTAATACATGTAGATAAAGAGGAAATCTTGAGTCAATTTCAGCTCGTATTGCCGTGAAAAATGCTTAAAAACAAGCTAAATGTCCGACCTAATATCTCTGCAACGCAGAATTCCAACGAAGAGCGGGATATCACGTTTGAAAGAGCGGAGCTTGCTCTACACGTGGATATGCGTAGCTTTCTACGGGAGTTATAAATAGAGATTTTCTCTCAATTGATCGATTTTTCTCTGTTAAGCAGCAATAGCCGTACCAGTATCCGAAGCGAAATCGTGGTGAATCTCAGAATATCATCTAAAGATCATTCAAGAACTGTCGTACTCCTCTCGGAATATCATCACGTAGAGAGTCTGGAGATTGGATGAATAATGTCCAATGTTAAAGAAAAAGCTGAATTTTAAGAGAACAACGAGACTGACAGTCGGGAAACGTTCTTTCCTTAATCACCAGTGTTAGCATTATATAACCTAATAACGGAAAAAAGATCTAATTCAAGTTTATTTACCTAGAAGACATCAAGAAATTTGCTCTGTATGTACTTATTTTGAGATCAATCTCTAGTTGAACCTGAAATGAGTGCATCATGTTCCCGAAGAGAAAGCCGGGTAGAACATATGTAATTTTACGTGCTCTATCTAATGAGACTAAGATTAGAACTTAGAATTTGGTAATTAAGTCGAAAAGCGAGTTTTTGTCTTAATTAAGTTTTTCTTGAAACGCGTATATTTCTGACAATACGCGTTTCCGAAATGTAAAACATTCAAATTCGGATAGAGCTTAAAATTTTATGTATACTGGTAGATTATCAGTATGTGATTGAGAAACACCTTTTCTCACTCAAATCACATATAAAAATAGACTAAATGTTCTTATATCGATGACACGATAGAAAAATAAGAACGTGTTTTATCATATGGGAAGAGAGAAAAGAGAGAAGAAAAAACATATTTTCTCTTTTTCATAGTGAACAGGAACTTATATATGCAGAACGGAAAAAGTGAAAAACTTTTTAAAAAAAAGTTTTAAACGTTCAGAAGCATTTTTATGCCAAACCAATGTGATATTCGGAATCTACGAAAAAAACTGCATCGAATGATATATAATTCGACGCGTTTTGGAAATAAAAGTTTTCGTCCTAAATTTTAGGCAAAACACCTGAGGCTGAAACTTTTTGTCTGCCTTTAAGACGAAACTTAGGTGAACACCGTTTCTTGACATGCCCGATCCGAATATCGCGGTCTCCCGACTTGAATCGTTGCGAGGAAAAAGCAGGTAGTTTTCATATGAAATTCGCCTTGAATTCAGCTTTAAAAGAATTCTTCGCTTTTTTTAAATTTTATTTTGCTGCTGAGAAAATTC